GCTTAATATATTTTGTTGACTCTTTTATTATTGCCTTTCTTATACAAAATATGTGATACTACTAAAAGTTTGAAGAAAATACACAAAGATATTAAGGCGTGATAAAAAGGATTAACTGTACTCTCTAATATTATGAGTAAAATATGGAAGCGATACAAATTTTCATATACCTAAATGTTTCCAGCTATGGAAAAGAAATTAACCAGATTAATTCATCTACAGTGAGTTACCATGGGTCTATGTGTGCTCCTATTTAAAATAGGCAAAGGAGAATTATTGGGGAAAGAACAGTTTTACCGGCTCACAATTTATAGAATGGCCAGTATAGATCAAATGGCATCCAGTGATTTGGTGCAGTACTCTAGCTGCTTGAAAATGAGATGGGCCTCTAGATCATCAGAAACCAAAGCTACAATTTTCCACCTAAAAAGGGGATGGAGCCTGCTCTGGTAGACTGGATTAGATATGTCTGTCACCTATTTTGTGGCTGTGGATCTTAACAGAATCAGTCAACTTTCTTGTGATTTATTTCTCCATTTTGAGGTAAGCCAAGCAGAAACTATTTTTAAAAAAGAAACGTAGCAACATAGCCTTATAATCATTTCCTACTATCTATTCCTTGACTTCCCCACCACCCAATAAAGTGAGATAAAATGAATTTGTAATTACTCATGGGCATATCTTAAGGGATATGGATAGAACTTTTTCTTCTTCCAGTTTCTTAAAAGACTGATTTGCTTGGTTATTCTACTACTTATTTGACAAAGACAATGTATGAAATCGATTGTCTGTTGATGTTCTTACTTCCTGGACAATTCAGAATGTAATTATAAATACCTAATAAAATTAATGTAATTATCTGATTACAAAAAAAAAAAAATCCCCAAACTCTAAAATGCACTTAGTAAACATTTTATATGGAAGTATAGAATTGAAATCTAGTGGAGACCATATTTGGTTCTACACATCTGTTATGGACTGAATGTTTGTCTCCTCCAAAAATATGTTGAAATCCTAACCTCCAATGTGATGGTATTAGGAAGTGGGACCTTTGAGAAGTAGTTAGGTTATAAGGGTGGAGCTCTCATTAATTAGTTAAGTAACTTTATAAGTACATGATCTTTAGAAGCAGAATCATTGGCTTTAAATCTCTCCCAGATCTCTTATTGCTAGTATGTGATTTGAGAAGGTTTTATATCTTTTAATTGTTTTATTTTGTAAAATAAATGGATAAAAATTCACAGTTAAATGAAGTAACTCACAATTTTTAAAATATAATAGTAAATAAGAGCCACTGAGTTTTTTGAAGGGCAGAATACAGTGGCTCAGGCATTGGTGGCAGCAGGTGCTCTGTTTGATGGAATGACTGGTGTAGGCATCTGATAAGCCAGCAAATCTGAGTATCACTAACAAGTGACAAAACAGAAATGCCGCAGACAAAAAATAACAACACAACCAAAAATTATAACTATGGAAAATAATGTAGCAGATTATCCAGTTATTTTAATAATAGATAACATTTATTGAACACTTCACCATGTGGAATTCTTTACAATGTTAAATACCTGAAATCAAGTAGTCTTGAGACCCAGGACCTATTTTTCAGCTCAGCCATGGCCCATTGCCTGTTGCTTAATTCTTCACTAATTTAAATTGCCAATTAAGGAAAAATGTGCCTTTAAGTGTGGGTATCTGTGTGTGTCTGTGTGTGTGTACTCTATAAAAACACACACAAACATATATATATAAAACAGTTCTATACGTACACATATATTGATTGGGATCACATAAAGTTGCAGATAACAGAAAACCATAATAGTTTTAGAAAATAAATATATACTTTTTCTCATATAACAAGAAATAGTAAGTTACATAGTTGCTGATATTATTTTAGCGGCTCATTGAAGCCATCAGGCACCCAGGTTGTTTCTAACTTCTCCAGTCTCTTAAGCTGTTGGATTTTTCCCTTGTGCATGTCACTTTGTGGTCAGAATGTAACTGCTCCATCTCAGATAATCTGGTCTAGTTCAGTGAATAAGAAATACCCTCCTTCTGTGTGAGGTCTCAATGGAAGATTGAAAGGGCAGGTAGGAAAATGAGGAACTAGATCTTATGACTGTTTCCTGTGATCCATGTCCTAGAGCAGAGCATGTTTGGGCCTGAAATGAAGTCAGGTTCTTAATAAAAAAAGAATAGAGGAAAAGAATATGCTAGGTAGGCAAGTAGCAGAATTCACCATAACAAGGATAAATAAAATTGCTGTATTTGAAAGGTGCTATGATAAATTATAAAGAATTATAAAGTATTTGTGAAATATGAGATAAGAGAAGTCCTTCCAAAATAATTGTGATCATTTATGTCTTTCATTTTAATTAGTGGAAGAAATTTTTAAATAATTCTCAGAAACTTCAGATAATTCCATGGGTGGAAAAATAGTCACTGAATGAATAGACAGCCTTTTGTTGTTGTTTTCTTAAATAGGCCAACTTTTGAGAGGGCTAATGTAGTATATTTGTAGTCAAAAAAATGGTTTCAACTGAAAATTTATTTTCAGGGACAATTATCATACTGGACTACAAAATGTGAGCTTATCCATGTTACATTAGGTGAGTGATTCTAGGTTACTTTAGTGGACAGACTACATCTGTTGTTCTATAGTTAGCATTTTCTCGGGCTGCCAGAAAGCATCTCATCACTTGGCATGTCCCACATATTAGAGAGAGAGAAAAAAAGAGAAGAAAGCTGGAGTGCAGTTGCTGAAGGACCTGTACACTTAGAACTCTGAAGAAATGACAGCTGAGAACAGACAGGCATGATGCTTCCTCTGTGGCTGTAATGAATTAGCAGCAAGGGTAGCCATGATCTGTTGACCAGAAAAGACCAAGGGAGAAAAACGGAATTTCTAATTGTTAACTACTTCAGAGGGATGTCAGGAGGTCCAAGACACATGGAAATGCAGGACGTTTGGAGGTATAAGTAATAGGTAATTGTTGATAAGTGTGATGGTAGTTTCAAGTGACTTTCATATCTGACTGCTCTGCTTCTTTGACTAAGGAAATTGTTTTGAATTTGGAAAATTATATGTACAAGCATTCTAGATGGAGTATTTATGTGTGCTCAATAAGCAGTATGTTTTCCTTTGATGTCATTTGTTTTCTGCTATCATATTATATTGGGTGGAAGAAAAATAGATTGCAATTATTTGCTCAAATATATGAGAAACGGTGTTTGGAGAGTAAGAATTTTGATAGTCTATTCAGTTAAAAATATTATTTTTTATGGCATCTTACTGAGGCTCTGCCAGCAGGTTAGGCAGTAACTGAAACAGTAGATTCAGAAACTTCAAAAATGTTGCAGTATGTAGTTTGCAAACCTATTTACTGTTTGTGTAAGAGTGTGTTGCATATATGCACACCCACAGAATGCTATTTTACATGGTCATGGTGATGCAAATACACTGATGAATTGTAATTTGGGGATTCAAAAGGACTTGAAGAGACTATGATTTATGTGATTATTACAGATTTCCTGGTCTATCTTTAATTTTTTGTGTTGGCTCAGTTACTTAATATGTTTCGGGAATTTTTATTTGTATTTTTGTAGGTATTTCGATTTCTTTTAAGTATAAGAATAAGAAAAGTCTCAGATAAGTCTTCATAACTTAACATCATTAGGGGCACCTGGATGGCTCAGTAGGTTAAGCATCCAACTCTTGATATCAGCTCACTTTTTGATCTCAGGGTCATGAGTTCGAGCCCCACATTGGGCTCCATGCTGGGCACGGAGCCTACTTAAATAAAAAATAAAATAATAAGTTAGAATAATTATCTTTAAATATGAAATTAGTCTTTGATAGATCCACATAGTAAGTTTTCTCACCTATAGCCCAGTTTATTTTTCATTAGATTATAATGGCAAATAAGCTTAAAATTATTTCTGTAATAATAACAATAATAATAATAAAACAACTATAATAATAAAAGAAAAAAAATCTAAATTTTTCCAAACCTTGTCCCAAGTTAAAAATATCTGCACATAGAAATATCTGCACAGGGGCGCCTGGGTGGCTCAGACAGTTAAGCATCTGCCTTCGGCTCAGGTCATGATCCCAGGGTCCTGGGATCGAGCCCCGCATCGGGCTCCTTGCTCAGCGGGAAGCCTGCTTCTCCCTCTCCTTCTACTCCTCCCCCTGCTTGTGCTCTCTCGCTCTGTCAAATAAATAAATAAAATCTTAAAAAAAAAAAAGAAAGAATCTGCACATAATATTTGTGTAGAGTTTTTTTTTTCTTTTAACTTTTCATATCATCCTACTTATCTAAATCCATAGTGACTTTGAATAACTTAAAAATCTTCTCAAACCTTGAAGACATACTAAGTGAAATAAGCCGGTCACCAAAGGGCAAATATTATATGATTCCACTTACATGATATAGCTAGAGTAGTCAAATTCATAGAGACAGAAAGTGGAATGATGCCTGCGAGAGGACAATGGAGGTGGGGGGGCGGTCTTTTTCAGCCATGCAATGAGATATACTATGACATTTCACTATTAGTTCAGGAGTAACACATATCTTTTGCCGTAATATAGACTTCATTCTAAATGAAAAATAATTTAAAGAATGCATTGTAAAACACTGAGCACAGACCTGACAATTATTATCTCAGTAAATATTTTTATTATTATGGAGGTAAATGTTTAAATGGGTTCATGAGGGGCGCCTGGGTGGTGCAGTTGTTTGAATGCCCAACTCTTGCTTTTGGCTCAGGAGATAATCGCAGGTGGAGGGATTGAGCCCTGACCTCAGGCTCTGTGCTCAGCATGAAGTCTGCTTAAGAATTTCTCTCCCTCTGCCCTTTCCCAGCTCCCGTGTTTTCTCTCTCTCTCTCTCAAACAAGTAAATAAATCTTTAAATAGGTTTATGCCTATATTTACGACAGAATCAAATTACATACTTAAAATATTTTCCAACATCCTTCATTAAGAAACTTTATCATTCTAGGAGGAATTGTTGATAAGGATCTTCGTCACTACCTCAACTTACGATTTCAGAAGGGTTCTGTGGACCACGAACTTCAGCAAATCATTCGTGACAACCTCTACCTCCGCACGGTGCCATGTGAGTACAACAGACGATGTTGTTGTCTTTCTATGTTAAAAAATAAATATTCAGCTATATATCCATTATTTAAAAAAAGTTAAATTGCATTGATTTTTTATGGTGGACTTTTGGGACAAAATTGATTTGAGATATGGAATTTTTTTGAGATATGGAATTTTTAAATGAAAAAGCTTATAGCTGCTGTTTGTGGTTTATGATGATGTTCTAGCCAGAAGAGACTTGCTATTTTCAGGCTACAAAACCTATCTTACTTCTAAATTAGTATTGAGGAATATTAATTCTAGTCCAGGATGTTGATGATTTAGAATGAATCATGATTGGGGTAGAACTCCACACTGGGAGACAGGAGAATGCAAATTAAGTCTATTAGCTGAAACAGCTATTTTGTAAATAGAATCTACACAGTAACCCCCAACCTCATCTCTGGTTTGCAGCAGGAGAACTTCACAAGTAAGAAGAAACTTATGCATTGAAAAGTAAAGCTAAATGTTCTATAACTCTTAGAAAGTGATAATATTGAGTGTTGGGTAAAAATTTCTTATATGAAACCTATAGAAGTCCACAAAACAACAATCCCTGATTATGAGCAGGTGCTACTTCAGAAGAGAGGACTTGGTCAAATGATAAAATTCACACGTCAACTTTGTGGTACCTGTTTCATTTTATTTAATAATCTATTAACTTTAGGACAATTCAATGACTTTTCAAGTCAGGTCCTAGATCCTAAGTAGATATCAAAATCCATTTCCTTCACGTTCCATGACCCTCAGAGACTTTACAATCTCTCCAGAAACTCTGCGGGTCTGTGTGTATTCCTCTTTAGTGCTGCTCTGAATTTTAATAAACTCAGTTATGGGCTCTGGAAAGTTGATATTAAAGAAAGAAAAACTTGGCTAGGATAAATAAAACAAACAAGCAAAAAAAAGTGTGTGTATATATATATATATATATATATATATATATACACATTGCAGGGGGGAGGATATTGAACTACCAGAACTATGCAAAAGGTATGGATCATGGATGATTACACTGAAGTAGTTGAAAACACAGAAAGAGGTGAAATGGAAAGTCAGCCACCAACCTTTTTCACCATGCACATCTTAGGAGGGGTAGACTTGTGCCATTGTTAACACTGAATGTTCATCAAAATAAAAATGCCAGGGCCCCACTATCACATATTCTTAAATGAGAATGCTTACTGATTGACATCTTGTCAGTCCAAATGCTACCTCTGTCCGTTTGTGTTAGGGAAGTGAATAGACTGTTACTGTTGGGCTCTTGCTTTAAAACTAGAAGTTGAGAAAAGTGCATTCTTAAGCTTGTAAGTTTGACATTAGAGTGATGGCCAGAAAAAGATGGATTAAAGTAAGTGACTGAACTATTTATAAGGTAAGGGGTGGACTCATTTTCAAAGCTGTGATGTTGTCAGTGTAGCCATGTGCATTTATCTTTTGTGACATAAAAGAAAGGAGATCTGAAATATTGAATAAAGAATCTGGGCATTTTATTCTGTTTAAAAGCTGAGGGAAATAGATAAGGTGCTGACATTCAGGAATACTTGTAGTCCTTGCTGAGGTGATGACATAAATAAGAAGTCTTAATTAAATATGAAGATAATAGGAGTAAATTTTGCATTAGTTAATTAACTTCTTAAATAAGTCATCTCTCTTTAGAGTACCAAAGAAACACCATGAAGGAAAAATAAATATAAGGGTAAAATAACTAGGCTTATAGGAGTAAACATAAAGAGTTTTGTGATAGGATTTCAGTACAAGGTCATAAATTCAATTACAAGTCCTTGAATAGCTCCTATAAAGGAGATGATTAGAAATTCAATGAATCTGAATATTATAATCAAACAATTATTCTTTGGATTTGTAGCTACCACTCCTAATAGCCAATTCCAATAATACTACTCACTAAGGATGCTCTTAACTTTGCATAAAAGTGAAGAAACATCTTAGATAGAAATGAGTCTGATTTATATGATCTATAATCACTTTTATACTGATGAATTGGACCTGGATAATCCACCATCTTCACTCAGTATATCTTTTAATAAAACTTTCAGACATATTCAGAGTATGCAACAAAAATGTGTCAGTCGTGTGAAAAATCCTGGCTTTATTTAGAAATTTACATGTGCGTCCAACATATCTATTGACCTCGAGTATGGAGTGATGTTTGTTACATAGTTTCTTAGGTCAGAAAAATTCTCATTGGTTTTCATGTACCCAGCACCATAAAAGGAAAAGATATTACTCAAGTGCATTTCACTGCTCTTACAAATGCGTACATTAATATGTATGCCTTTTGTGTAATCTATTAATGGCACCAGGAATAGGTCCTGGATAACTCCATGAAAAAAAAAATGTAGTCAATTTGTAACTATGTAAGGGTGGCTTAGCTGGTTTTACAAGGCAAGACCCAACTGAGTAATTCTGCGAACTACCACCACATTACTCCACCACCAATAACTATGACTGGGAGGAAAAGAGCAAAAATCAATAAAACCAAAGATCTAAAACTATTCCATAAAAAGTGAATAAAATGAAAAACGGATTTAAGATATGAAAGAAATTACTTTTATGGAAGAGCTGATTGACGTGTAACTCACAATGATGTTTCTACATATTTAAGCACTTTAAGTAAGTATAAACTAAGTCATGTTAAAAAGAAGCAGTATCAAGAATAAAATTGTAAGATTTGTGATACATACATATATATTTTAAATTTTCTGTTATGTTAAATTATCTTTCATGGAGAAGCAAATAGAAGCAGGCTCTTTAAGAGTTATGGGAACTGTTTCCTTTTAAAAACATGCCAAAAAGTATAGCTATGCAAAAGGTCAACATCCCATTCCCCTAGTTATATTGGACTATGGTCAGAGAAGACTATTGGAGAGCAGCTGGTAAACACATATTTATTAAAAAGTCTGAAAGTTTTTTTTAAAGTCTTAAATTAGAGCAGAACTTTCTACTATACTGCATGGGGGAAAATAATTTTAATTCGGAGGCACACATCAGTGCTTTTAAAGCTTATAAAAATTTTGTTAATATTCAACAAGCCAATATGTTTTTGTGGGCATGAATGAATCTTTCTAATTACTTGTAATTTCCATCATGAAAGTATAGTTCTAAGCATGTAGTAAGAAAAGAGAGTGATATCAACCTGTGGGTTTTACTACCAAAAAAAAAAAAAAATTCTTCCAACGACATGAAATTCTGTGAGTTGAAGGTGATCAAGAACATAATTAAGTACTCCTAATATCTTTAAGCAGTATAGGTCCATGTGCTGGAATGGTAGGTTGAATTATAGGTAGACATGCAGGCATAGGAATAGGGATATCAGATCCAACTGAATTTTAAACAAACATATAGCAACAGATGTATATTATACATCTGTTTCAACCTTACCCCTATTTCTTCAAATAAGAATCATCGACTTAGAAGCTCCTTTTAAAGTTGCTTTTAGAAATGAATCATGTTCGTTTGCAATTATTTCTGAATCAAGTTGCCAGATTTTTGTTCTTTGAAAATGAATTTTATTTTTTTAAGCAGCCTAATTGTGTTTGGTGCTAAATGTTGAGAATAGAGTTATTAGAGAATAAATATGATTATTAGCATTGTGGACCAAAGGAGAAGGAAATCTATAAACAAATGAAACTAAATTTCTTGAGAGATTTATAAACTGCCCTGGAAAACCAGCTCAAAAGAAAAATTTCAAAAGCTTCTGAGCAGTAGCAAACACTTGAAAGGATTCTTTCTCCTCATTGACTCATTCAGATGTATGCCTGAGTGGTACATTTATTAAAAATGTGTTATTACTTTATATGGAAAGCTGTATTAGGTTTACTCTGTGCCCCTTATCACTGAAAATGGTAAGATCTAGTTTCACATCATATACATGAAAGTACACTACAATTTCCTTTTTCTTTTTCCCATTGAGCAAAATGAATGCATCTTTCCTGATCAGATAGTAACCTTCATTGGGTTGGTTAACAGTGTACGCTGCAGGAGAGAAATGGCTTCAAAATGTTGCTTAAATGGAAAGTCAGGAAGCATTAGAAGTGATTGTATTGATTTATCCATTTGACACCACCAGACACTAATTTTTGAATAAAGGAACCAGTCTGGCCCCCAAAATGCAACAAACACCAACAGCAAACAACCTTACTAATCTTCCAAACCATATAAAATTCCCTTTGCCCAGAGTTGATCAACTTTTTTGTGTATGCCTGTGACCCAATCTTTCCTCTTGGTTTTTCTCTTTTGGTTTGTATTTCTTTCTTTCCTTTTTATAGAGGGTGGCTCTTCATGGGAACCCTGGGTTTGTGGACCATGGATGGAGTAGAGTAGGCAGACGGTAGGAACACTCTTGGGTTTCAATGGCTCCAGCAGCTGGCCTAGGGAAGAATCGGAGATGGGTGCTTGAAGCCCTTTTTCCACCTCCAGAAAAGCTAGTAATCACAGTCAGTGGAAAATAGCTCATCTTCCATGGAGCCCAGAATCTGCTTCCTGCAGACTTCGAAACTGTAACCCAGTTGGATATAAGGAGGTCAGCATATCTCATTGCATGCCACTGCACTTTTTGAATAGGAATTAAGACTCTGTCAGGTTCTACTCAAGTTTCTAAAGTCTGCTGACTAGGACATAGGCTGTTGCATGATTATGTAGCTGAAGGAAAGCAGTGGGCAGATGGCAAGGATACTGATGTTCTTATGGGACTTTAAAGCTGTAAAATTGTAGTAGAACACTCAATTTCTGATTCAAATGCCTCTGTCCAAAAGAATGAAAAAGGAATACTAATTGTGGTTACTGATAGTCTAATATCTAGTGCACGAGTCAGAGTTATTTACACTTTGTAGTTTAGCATCGCTAGAGCTTGCTGAGTAACAAAAACCTGTGGCTTTACTTATTTGGCAACATGGCACTATGGAAAGAACACTCATCGAAGAATTAAGAGCAATTGGGTCTGGCCTAGACTCTGCCACT